TAGGGTCAGGGTTAGGGTCAAGGTTAGGGTTAGGGTCAAGGTTAGGGTCAGGGTTAGGGTTAGGGTTAGGGTCAAGGTTAGGGTCAAGGTTAGGGTCAGGGTTAGGGTTAGGTTCAGGGTTAGGTTCAGGGTTAAGTTTAGGGTTAAGTTTAGGGTTAGGGTTAGGGTCAAGGTTAGGGTCAAGGTTAGGGTCAGGGTTAGGGTCAGGTTTAGGGTTAGGTTTAGGGTTAGGTTCAGGGTTAGGTTCAGGGTTAAGTTTAGGGTTAAGTTTAGGGTTAGGGTTAGGGTCAAGGTTAGGGTCAAGGTTAGGTTCAGGGTTAAGTTTAGGGTTAAGTTTAGGGTTAGGGTTAGGGTCAAGGTTAGGGTCAAGGTTAGGTTCAGGGTTAAGTTTAGGGTTAGGGTTATTAGGTTGTTATTGTTTGTTGAAGGCGTGCTTTTGTCGGTGCGCTGTTGTCGGCGCGCTTCTGCGCTCATTCGTTCGCGCGATTTCGACCTCGCAGTTTCATCAGCATGAAAGCATGTAAGTCGAAGGACTCTTAAAACATAATCTGGAAACCTAGTTAGTTGAAAAATTGGTTAATTTTGCCTCTGTTGAACTGTGCAAGTGTAAATCTCCAGGTGAAATCTGGCACCAGTAATATACTTTGGATGGCTCTCCTTCCACGGTCAAATAAGATGGACACCAGTCTTAGAAGTATGTTGCCTTCTTTCTCTTAGCTCAACATCTTGACGTGTGCGGTTGTCGGTTCCTACACCATCGTGTTGGTCACGGCGTGTTACATCTACACCAGCCTCTCTTACATCGGCATAGATCTACTCCGGAGGATTCTGAACGAAGACTTCAACAGAACGTACACCAGCGTGCCCTTCCAACCTAATGGTAAACTTGGAGAAGGGGGAAGTGGGGTTCCTGGAGCAAGCCTGTGACATCTCTTTCTCTAAAAGCGTTTTCAAGACCATGGAGAACCAATGGAAGTTGAGGGAAAATAATGGAAGCAGTGAAGATGGACTTAGCTTGAACAAGAGAGGGAGAGGGGGAGAGAGGGAGGGAAAGGGAGAGAGAATGAGAGAATGAGAAAGAGACAGAGAGAACGAGAACGAACTGGGAAAGGTGGCTGCAAGAGGGAGAAGCTGGTATTTTGGCCAGAAAACACCCCCTAAACCAGCCTGTTTTGTGGGCATTTTTCAGGCCATTTGGGGACTGTTTTTTCACCCTAAAAACAATGGAAAACTGCCTGAAAAATGGCCTGTTTGTGGGGCGGTTTTTGGGCTGTGTTCAAGCCGATTTTGACTGGAAAAACAACCTGAAAATGGGATGTGTGTGTGTGTGTGTGTATGTTGAATTTGTGCTGATAAACAAATAAAAGGAGACTAGTATAGATCTATTTCAAGCTATTTAGCTCTCATCAGCTAGCCATACC